CTGGGTGGGCTCCTGGTGGGCTCCTGGATGGGGTTCTGAGGATCAAGTTAGAGGAGGTGAAACTCTCTTTAGGGCCGAGGGACCACAGCAGGGCCAACAGCAGGACCCAGCTTGCTCAGGCTCAAGGTAGGCAGCGAGGAGCCCACGATTACAAGGATTCAGGATGTGAGCTCTGAACAGAAGGGGCTTCCCAGAGCCGCCTCTCACCTGGCCTGGCTGCTATGCCTGGGGTCACTGTGGGCTCACAGTACGAGGCACTGCATAGGGTTCATGATGGCCAAAACCATCACTCTCAGGTATTGATGAGGAACTAACACAGCCAAGAAAAGTCTCATCCTATTAACTATGTTAGCTAAAGCAAAAGTGCTGTGCAACCTAGGTAAGCTTGTTCCTTCTCTGAACCTCAGTTTCCTCTTTTAAAAGCTAGCTGTTCTTGATCGTGCTGACGTATTAGATGACCAGCTACCTAGTTGCAACAGGCCTGCCTATGTGAGATGCTCACTCATTGTTATGTTATCTGTGGTCCAGGTTGCAAGGTTGTGCCAGAGACATAGGTCTGGTGACATGGCCTATGAAAGGCAGCTTTTGCCCTGCTCAGGGTTGCTCACAACCTGGCAGGACCTCATATTGGACTGGAAGAAACTGCTAGCCTCCCAAGCAACCAGGGGGATGCTGGACGCTGATACGACTTTTATAAGGTTTAGGTGCCAGAGTACTCACCCCAGTCTTTCGTGGACGACTGCAAGAGACTGAACTAGGCAAACCTCTTCCCTGATGTGAAACTCTTTTCTCCAAAGCCTTTAGTCCAACGTATAACAAACAGAGTTTGTACTTTGGTTCAAACAGGGCAGGGCTAAGAGCCCAGCCCTCATGGAGCCCTCCAGCCTTCCTTCCCCAGTGGTCCCCGGAGGCCTCAGCAGAACCCAGTCAACAAACCTCAGCGTTCCTGGTCTCTTACGGCCCCTCCCAAGCAAAAAGTCAAAGGTCACAGGAGCCGGATTTCAGCTCAACATCCATAGGACTCTTTACAAGCATGCCTGCCTGCGCTGGAAGGGACTGTCTTGGAGGTGTGTAAGAAGCTAGGCAGAGAGTTATTGTTGTGAAGGAAAGCAGTAATCTCAAACTGAGATGCCCAAACCAGCGGTGTGGGAAGGTGACACAATGTGATGCCAGAAAAAATATTTCTGCGTTGTTCTGGTCTGGGTCAGAAGCACATCTTGAGGCAAGGATTTCAGTGTAAGTAGTTTATTTGGGAGGTGAAGAAAACACCAGTTGGTGGAAGAGGTGCCAGCCAATAAAATGTGCATTGCCAACAGGTTACCACTGTGGGCAGCTGGAGATGAATTGTGCTGGGAAAACTCTGACAGCCAGAATAAAAACCTACACCTCAGAGTTAGATCCCACAAGGGGTGAGGGAGCTGGGTGCTTATATTCCAATTCCATCGGTCAAATCTGAAGGCAGCTCCCGGTGTGTGTGGGGGGGGGTGTTAATTTCTGTGGCACTTCCCCTTCCATGGAAGGAAGCTTTCCATGGTGGCCAGAGAACCCTTCACTCCATTATGGCTGGATGTCCCTTCTTAGCATACGTGACTTTAGGGACACATAGAAGTTCCTTGGTATTTCAAGGGAAAAGTACTTCAAAGAACTGCCTGATTTAAAGTTGTTACATAGGTTTCTCTTACAAAAAGGCAAGCGTTCCAAAATCGCTGACCTACTCTATGTTGACGGTGACTGTCAGTAATATCACAGCCAACAAATATACTTGAAAAAAAAAGTACTTATTCTATAAGGCCAATTCATCTTTTTTTAAAAAGTGTTATCGCGGGGTGCCTGGGTGGCTCAGTCGGTTGAGCGTCCGACTTCGGCTCAGGTCATGATCTCTCAGTCTGTGAGTTCGAGCCCCGCGTCGGGCTCTGTGCTGATGGCTCAGAGCCTGGAGCCTGCTTCGGATTCTGTGTCTCCCTCTCTCTCTGACCCTCCCCTGCTCATGCTCTGTCTCTCTCTCTCTCTGTCAAAAATAAATAAAACATTAAAAACAATTTTTTTTAATAAATAAATAAAAAGTGTAATTGCATATATTTTTAACTTTTTATTTTGAATTCATTTTACTTATGGAAAAGTTGCAATGATAGTTCAGAGTTCCCACGTCCCCCTCACCCAGCTTCCCCTAACATTAACATCTACATAACCACAGAATTATCAAAACCAAGAAATTGACTTAAAGTGTACAATTTGGTTAGGCTTGATATTTGGATATAGCACAGTTGTTTATTCATTCATCTCTTGATGGACATTTAGGCTCCTTCCAGTTTGGGGTGCCCACAGATAAAGTGGCCAGGAGCGTCACAGTCTCTGTATGGACTTTTGGTCTCATTTCTCTTGGGTAAATATGCAGGACTAGATTATATGGTAGGTGTATGGTTAGCTTTTGCCAAATTGTTTTCCAAAGGCGTTGTATGACTTTGCATTTTCCACCAGCAGTGTATGAGAGTTCCAGTTGTCCCACATCCTCACCAACACTGGGTATGGTCAGTCTTTTTTAATTTTACCTTTTTTAATACGTGGGTAATAGTATCTCATTGTGGCTTTAATTTGCATTTCCTTAATGACATATATATATATATATATATATATTCCGAATATAAGTCCTTTATCAGATCTATGATTTGCAAATGTTTTCTCCCAGCCTATGGCTTGTCTTTCCATTATCTTAATAGTGTCTTTGAGGGGCGCCTGGGTGGCGCAGTCGGTTAAGCATCCGACTTCAGCCAGGTCACGATCTCGCGCTCCGTGAGTTCGAGCCCCGCGTCAGGCTCTGGGCTGATGGCTCAGAGCCTGGAGCCTGTTTCCGATTCTGTGTCTCCCTCTCTCTCTGCCCCTCCCCCGTTCATGCTCTGTCTCTCTCTGTCCCAAAAATAAATAAAACGTTGAAAAAAAAATTAAAAAAAAAAAATAGTGTCTTTGAAAAAACAAAATTTTTTTAATTTTAATTAAGTTCAATTTCACAATTTAACAATTTATTCATACCATACCAAAGTATCCTCTATAGAATAACAGTTAAATTTGCATCTAAGAAATTTCTGCTTAACCCAAAGTCCAGAGATTTTCTTCCTATGCTTTCTTCGAGAAGTTTCATTAGTCGAGGTTTCACATTTAGGGTTTTGATTTGTTTTGAGTTAATTTTTGTATATGATTTGAGTCATTGATCACAGTTTATTTTTTGCATATTGATATTCAACAGTTTCCAGCACCACCTGTTGAGATCATTCTTTTTCCACTGAGTTGTCTTTGCACCTTTGTTGAAAGTCCGTTGTCCATTGGTGTGTGGGGCTGTTTCTACATTCTCTGTTCCTTTCATCTGTCTATCTTGACACCAATTTCACACTATGGAATAAGGTAATGTTATTCCCCCAGATTTGTTCCTCTTTTTCCAAGTTGTTTTGGCTATTTTACATCTTTTGTATTTCCATATGTTTTAGGATCAGTTTGTCAATTTAAAAACAATTACCGAGATTTTGATTGCTATTGCATTGAATCTACAGATCAACTTGGGAGGAACTGATATCTTAGCAATATTGAGTCTTTTGATCCATGAACATGGTATAGCTCTCCTTTATTTAAGTCTTCTTTAATTTCTCTTGGCAGTATTTTATAGTTTTCAGTGTAAACATATGTATGTTTTTTGTCAAATTTATACCTAAATATTTCATAGTTTTGAGACTATTATAAATGGCATTTTAGCTTTTCAATTGTTGGTAACCACTAATATATAGAAATATTTGCTTTTAGGGCACCTGGGTGGCTCAGTCAGTTGAGCGTCTTGCTTCAGCTCAGGTCATGATCTCACAGTTTGTGGGTTTGAGCCCTGCGTCGGGCTCTGTGCTGACAGCTTAGAGCCTGGAGCCTGCTTCAAATTCTGTGTCTCCCTCTCTCTCTGCTCCTCCCCCTCTTCATGCTCTGTCTCTCTCTCTCCTTCAAAAATAAATAAAAACATTTAAAAAAATTTAAAAGAGAAATATTTGGTTTTGATATGTTGATTTTATTTCCTGAAAACTTGCAAAGCTGACTTATTAGATCTCGTCCACATGTATTTTGGCTCATCAAAATACTCATAGTATTTTTTTTTTCACATAGGCAACATGTCTGTGCATAAAGACAGTTTTACTTCTTCTAAAACAGTCATTTTGACTTAAATGAGAAAGTAACTGCTTTTTATAATATACTCACACTCTGAAGAGTGGAGTTTTGTGGCTGAGGCAGTGGTGTCCCAGCCTCCTTTTTTTCTAGGGACAACACGCTCCTGCCATCCTACACAATCTCTCACTGACACAAAACAGTGAGGGAAGAAGATGGCATTGTGAACAGCCCCACAGATCCATCTATAGGCTAGACTGGTGTGCTCACAAGGCTGAACTCTAAGGGTGAAATCGATTGTTCCCAATGGCTGCACCTTGCCTGGAGGCCAGCAGCCTCCTCATACGTAGCATTAGGCCCTGCTGAGCTTCCAGAAGCATCCTGGGATGGAGATGGAGAGCATCAGAAGGGGGCCTAGAGCTGTCTTATGACATATACTATACTTTTCCACCTCTTTTTGGATTTTAATAATCAGGGAGTCAAGCAATTTGACTTTAGAAGAGGTTCCAAGAGTGTCAACCACATTCCCCCCCATTAGTCCATCTGCTGTCTGGCTCCCATGTTCATGTCACTGGCTAGTTTGAATTCTCAGCATAACTGATCTTTCATAGCAAAAAGTATCTGGCCCCAGCTGTCCCAGCAGACCATGTGACCTCCAGGTAGATGTCTCCAGCAAAACCATTCCCATTATATCCTTCCCCTCCAGGCATTCCCATGTGTCCTTTCTCCAAGACCCCCCCCCCCCCCCCCCCCCCCCCCCCCCCCCCCCCCCCCCCCAGATTCCCACTCCTATCCTCCCATCCCCAAATTTGTCTTCAGGCTTTTGGGGCCCTCTGGTCATCACAGGATGTCCTTCATATGCAGCTTTAAGGAGTAGGATCTGAATTGTAATCCACTGTTGGAGGGCACTTCCCTTTAGTAAAAGGTGTGATCCTTTCCCTTTAAAAAGACAGAAAGAGAAAATGAAACTTGTCCCTTGGAAGGAAGTGAGCCCCCATCCTTGGGAGGGGCACCCATGGGGGATGAAAAGGTACCTGTCGCTTGTGCTTCCCAAGGGATCCTATGTTGGGTAGGAGAACAAAATTGATGACTTCTAGTAACAAAACAACCTGGTTTTAAGAACCAATTTGGCCCATCAAAGCCCTCAGGTTGGTCTGTAAGAACTCCAAATATGAAATCCTAGCATTTGAAAGGTCATCTAACCCACCCCTGAGGGGGAGAGGGAGAGGGAGACTGAGGGCCAGAGGGAGGAGAGAACTTTCTTGAGGTTACACTGGTGGCCAGAGTCAGGGCCAGAATTCCAGCCCAGAGCCCCTGACTTCAGTCCAGTGACCCTTGCATTTTTCTGATTCTTTCCTCTGAAGGGAACCCCTGAAGACTCTAGTTCATGGAACTCTAGTTCCACTCCCAGAGCCATTTGGAAGATGACATTTCAATACGAACACTTTGTGTCTCAAACAGCATCTATCAGCCCTTATGTTACACACACTTATGTGTTTATTCTCTTTCATACCAACATGTAAACTTAACAAGGGTGGGGCTTTCATTTTTCTTTTTTAAGTTTATTTATTTATTTTCAGAAAAAGAGAGCACGCAAGCAGGGGAGGGGCACAGAGAGAGAGGGAGAATCCCAAGCAGGCTCTATGCTGTCAGCACAGAGCCCGATGCAGGGCTCGATCTCACAAACAATGAGATCGTGACCTGAGCCAAAATCAAGAGTCAGATGCTTAACTAACTGAGCCACACAGGCGCTCCAG